GCACTTAGCCAACGATCCCTTATCTAGCCTAGAATTGGTAGCTCGTAAACTGGTATTCATGGATAAGGTTATAGTCTTCTTAAAGTTTCGCTGTAAATCACGACTAGTTCCATAATTTTCTCGAAGCAAATATCTAAGGTCTTCATACGAAAGGTCATCGTCAGACCATAGCACAATCTCATTTATGACTGAGGCCCAAGGTTCTGGAACAGTTTCATATAACCTCTGTATCTTCACCTTATCCCTTAAGCTATGGTGTATCTTCCATAACATCTCAATAATACAGTCTAACAGATCAAGATGTTGTTCGAGGCTATGGAGCGGATGCATACGATAATTATAGTAAAATGCCAATAATATGTCCCGCTTTTTCGCAAAACCACAAGCTTCTGTCCTTGTGGGGGTTCTTACCGTTCGTGCCATAACTAGGACAAAAATTGATTAATTATGTTACTCTCTACAAGGCTCTAATAAATATTTAGATATAAGTGTTTATGACTTCATAATCTCAACCATGACTTGATTCAAAGTATTCCTATATCCAGCCATAGATATAGCAGTTCGTTGCATAAGAAAACTCATAAAATTAAAATTTTTTTTTTACCTTGATCATTGGTTGAAAGTCAGTTGCTAGTTTGCTCGATGATGAAGGACAGTAAATCTAGAATTTGTGGCCACTTATTACCCTATAATCAACCCACTTGTCATTTATCATTACCATACACTTATACAATAGGCCAAACATGTGTAGAAGCCAAAAAAAAAAAAAGAATGGAGGTAAAAGAAAAGGTGAGGCGGTGGAGATTAAAAAAAAAAAAAAAACAAAGATCAATCCATTATCCTTATATATATATATATATCCATGTCCATTGTTATAGAAAAAGATTTCCTTCACTTTGCAAAACATTTATACACACAAATAGAGAGAAAAAACCGACAAGAAGGAAGGAAAGGAAAAGGAAGTAAAGCCTAACACTTTCAATTCATATTTCAATCGAAATTTCTTCAAATTTTACGGTAAGATACTTTTCATACTTAAGGGGTATAATTTCATGGTAATATTTATACTTAAGTTATGCATGAAAAGCCATAATAAGCATATGGTGGACAAGTCCACAAAGTTAGATATCTATTTATGCCTTAGGACAAGTCCGAAGGGCACCGGCAAGCCGGAAGGTGCAAGTATGTGTTTGATTGCATTCTTTTGTGTAGTATTAACATGATAAAATTCAAGCATGGTATCTTACTGAGTATTCCTTATACTCATAGTATTCTATTCTAAATTTTCAGATCCATGATCGTTGGTTGATGGAAGTTAGCTAGCATAAGTGATGATGGGTTAAGGACAGATGTTTTGCATCGAAAGTTTCATTTTATATGTTTTGTTCGATGACTGCTTTCCATCTGTTTTTATTATGGTGTTATATAAAAACATGTACATGACATGATGTAATATGATATTAAAAGTAAATTTAGTAATCAAACCTTTTTTGTTATGTTAAGAGACATTTTTATAGTGTTTTCTTGCAAGTGATGAAAGAGGCAGAAACGAAAAAGTTTTGGGGTCAACTTCAAAACGTTATTTCCAACTCTATAAGTATCCATTTGAGACTCTAAAAATATTTCTGTGTTCCTCTTTGAGTTTTCTAAACATGGCCGCAGGAATTACTCAATTTGGATATTTGTGACTTGAGATATAAATTTTTAAATGTCAAAGGGTCAATCTGGATTTCCCGTGTAACACTTCGTTGTTTTCAGTAAAACGTCCATACCACATGATCTTGGAAAATTTTCATATTTTAACCTAAAAAACTACTTAAAATTATCTTTCTAATGCCGCAAATTTCATGTGAAACGGAGTTGGAATGAATTTTATAAAAATTGTCAAACTTGTTGCCCCAACTAACCTTGGTAGTGCCAAGTCCGTATATGTAAAGTATAATTTCTTGTCGACATGCACTTCTACCGGCTATTGAATTTTATAAGAACTATTTTACTAAATTGAAAATAAGTTTCCAACATGTAATACTTCTATTTAATAGTATTTACATGTACCAAAGGCAGAAGCTATTATGTTTAGTACGTGATCCTCGAAGCTTAAGTTCGGTGTGTCACAGTGAAAGGTCGAGGTTCGGTTGAAGGGTGGCACCACCGCCAGACAACAATCCCAGCCACCGCAGAGTACAGGTTCAGTTTGTTCTAGGGTCCAAATAGCAGCAGCTGCTCTACCAAGCTAGCTTAATGCACATTCATGTGATCCTTAGACAAGAAGAGTTGTTGAGGTCTAGATTATCAGTGTTAGTGTCAGGTTGGGATTTATCATGGTCAGAATTTTGTAAAAAATCTTCCATGGGTTGAACGGTTTGGTAATTTGTTTCTGGCATATCAATGTCATGACTAGTGTTTGGGAATGTGGTAATTGTTTCATTGTGAATTATGAGATCTTGAGTGGAGCTGATATTGTTTTGATCTGTTTTTGATGGAATTTTCTTTGAAAGGAAAAATATTCTCATAAAACACTACATTTCTAGAGACGAAAATTTTCTTGGTTTCGAGGTCTAGTAGAGTATATCCCTTGACTCCAAATGGATAGCCTATGAACACGCATCTCTTTGCTCTAGGATCAAATTTGTGTCTTCCATTGACAATGGTGGTTGGAAAGGCAAGACAGCCAAATACTTTGAGATGATTGTAAAGTGGTCTTTCGTTGAATAAGATCTGATAAGGGCTTTTGTTTTTCAATATGGATGGAGGAGTCCTATTTATGAGATACACTGCGGTTAAAACACAATGGTCTCAATATTTCAATGGGATTCCACTTTGAAGTTTCAAGGCCTTAGCTATGTTAAGAATGTGCTGATGCTTTCTTTCAACAATAGCATTTTGTTGGGGTGTTTCAATACAAGTTTTGTGGTGTATAATGCCTTTTTTAAGGTAAAATTCCTTCATATTGAACTCCCCACCATTATCCGTTCTAATGATTTTAATTTTAGCTTCAAATTGTGTTTCAACCATAGCACAAAAGCCTTGCAGTGCACTGGTAGCGTCAGATTTTAGTTTTAAGGTATATACCCAAGTGCGTCTGCTAAAATCATCCACAATGGTTAAGAAATATTTAGAACCATTACTACCAATTTCATTACAAGGACCCCAAATGTCACAATGTAGTAATTCAAAACACTTACTAGTTTTGTGAGTGCTCTTAGGAAAAGGTAACTTGTTCATTTTAGATAAAGGATATATAGAGCAAAACTTATTACTGGGGGACTTTGAAAATTGAACATCACCATCTACACTAAAGATAGAGTAAAAAGTGTGTCCTAATCTGTAATGCCAAACATCAAAACTTTGGGTATTAGAGGTCACTGAAGCGGAGATTGGAAACTGGTTATGTAACTTACCTAAGTAATCTGATAAGGCTGAAGAAGAAACGTCCTTGAGCATCATATGATAAAGCCCTTCCTTCACTTCACCCATGCCAATCGTTTTCCAAGCTGAAAGGTCCTGGATGAAACAATAACGAGAGAAGAAGATCAAGCGCAGAAAGAACATCTTCAAGTATCATAACATCAGTGACTTTAACTGTTCCTATGTGGGTAACTGGGACCGTGTTAACATTTGGTAGAGCAATAGATTACGCAACTTCAGCATAAATGAAGTGGAGCAGATCATATGATCTGTTGCTCCTGTATCAAGAATCCAAGGAATGTCCATTATGTTAGATTGCTTTGATTTAACAACTGACATGCATAGAGATATACCAGAGAGTTGATGTATGTTTTCATCAGTAGAAGTGGAGGCAATAATGTTTTGAGCATTATTGACTGAGTGGGTTTGAGAGTTGTTGACTGGTTTGAGGAGAGCCATTAGCTGAGAAATCTGTTCTTGACTTAAGTACACCTGAGATTTGTTGTTCCCAACCTCGTGTGCAGGAGATAGAGTTGCAATAGCTTGGTTTGCTGATGCCTTTTCTTTTCCATTGAACTTGTGGCCTGGAGGATAGCCATGGAGTTTGAAACATTTGTCTACTAAATGGCCAGGAACTTGACAATAAGTGCAAATTGGTTTGTTTGGATTTGCTTTGAAACATCTTTCAAGCGAATGCCCTGCGATTTTGCAAAATGTGCAGTAGTATCTATCCCTCCTTTGAGTGTTTTGTTTCCCTTTTTCTTTAAAGCTCTCCCTTGTAAGAAGTGTCATAGACTCATGTGAAGACCCCTCAGTTAATATTTCCCTCCTTTTCTCCTCTTGTTGTATTATTGAATAAACTTCATTCAAGCTGGGGAACAATTTAATTAGCAAGATTTGTGCCTTGATCCCTTTATATGAATCGTTCAAACCATCAAAAATTTCATTACCCAATCCTTTTGTTGATTTTGAATAACAATCTTTGAACTCCCACAACTACAATTAGGCACAGCTTCATAATTCATGAGTTCATCTAGAAGAGTTTTGAATTTGGAGAAATAGACACTTACGGGGTTTTCATTTTGTAGTAACATACTTATTGCCTGCTTAATTTCAAAAATTCTAGGTGCATTTTGTTGAGCAAAACGCTGTTTTAGCTCAATCCATAGTTGGTGCGCTGTCTCGGCATATGTGGTGCTACACTTGATGTCAACAGCCATGGTGTTTTGCATCCAGGTAATCACTATATCATTACAACGCAGCCAGTGCTCCATGAGTGGATCATTTGGATCTGCAGGCTCTTTTAGGCTTCCATCAATGAATGCTAACTTGTTTTTTATTCGTAATGCCCTCTTCATTGAACGAGCCCATGAGTGATAGTTATTAGCATCCAAAGTATGAGTAACAAGCATGGCTCCAGTGTTGTCATTGCTCCCAATAAAATATGGACTGTTTGGCTGGGTAGGATCATGATTTACAATATTTGATGGATTACCAGACTGATTAACATTTGAATTTTGGGTTTGGATTTGATCTGTGTTTATATTTCCAGCATCAAAATCCTCCAGAACCTGGCTCTGATACTATTTCAGAAATATAAAGATAAGATAAGGAGAATTGGCTGAATGATTGAAGAAAATTGAAATTAAACCCCCGTTTGTTTGGTGCACATTATTTGGGAAAATAATACATTTTTTTCCATCAAATCAGTCTACAATATTTGACTTCAACACTGTAAGGTAGGACCTATGATGTGATGTTTAAAATGCATTTTTGTTGGAAAAATATGGAACAAACGACCCCTAAATTGTATTGATTTCTCACACCGTAAGCTGTACAGAGGTATGTGTCTATATATATGCCAAAGACTATTCTAGAAGAATATTTACATGCAATACAGATTTACATAACAAATTCTCTAACTAATATTGAATATCTCTTCCTTCTCTAGAGAGTTCTTATTCTGTTATTGTTGTGTAGTGGTTAATTCCCAATGTGTCCTTCCTTTGTTGACTGTGTTGCTGAGTCTGCTGTCTTTCTAATTCAGCAGCTTTGTCACCTTCCAATACTCTGTTCCTGCACTTTTTGTCTGCCGAATTGCATCTCGTCTTTCCTTAAAGAATATCACTCTTCTTTGATGTAGTGGTTGCCATGGCAAACATTTTTATACATTGTGAATTCCTCAGTATAAAAAGTTCTAAAAGAATCTTTCTGCTGTATATTTGAACCTGTTCTCTTAAATTAGTCTAAGTTTATACGACAAGTTCATATCTAAAAGAAATGTCTGATATAATCCTAATTGGGAGGTGTCGCCGTCGGCTTTATTTCTTTGTTTTTTTTCATTCGATTGATAGGATTGCATTCAATTTCTTCTGTTTCCTATGATTACTGGATGCTTTTGTTTGAACCAACCTTGATTAACAATTAACGTACGATTATTTCATTTTGTAGTTCTCCTGGTTGGTGGTTCGAGTGCTGTGAAGATATAAAGTCAAAGGCAATTTTATGAGTAGCTAGCTTTAAATTTGCTATGCTTTCTGTCTGTAAATATACTTCCTTTTTGATGTTGCCTTTGTACGGTTTTACCATCAAAATATTTATCAGAGATTTTGCATAGTGCGCATATTAATAATAACAATCGAAAAAGAGTTGAAAACTAAAAATTGTTAAGATTCATGAACTCATTCAGTCCCATTTAGGTTGACACTAAACTAGATAATATAATCATGCAAATTGTAACAATAGAACATCCACCTCGCTATCACCCAGGTTCTTCTCATGGAATAGATTAAAATAATCAAGAATTATGAAATCTTATTAGAACCTTATCACAATCCACCGTTTTGGGCAGCCATTTAAGGCCCGTTTGGCATGACTCAGGAGCTTTTGAATGCGTTTGACTCATTTTATGAAAATGTTTTTCTATTAAAAGTGTTTTTGGAGAAAGCTAGTCTAATGTGACTTCTTTTAAAAGTATTTTGGAATGGAAAGCGCTTTTAAAAATTAGTTTTCAAACAAATTGAATATGGGCAGAGCATAGGCTAGTTGAAGAGAAATGATAGACACGGCACACTATATCACTAAGGGGTTAATTCCAAACAAAACACATAAATTCATAAATTTAGTATTCACATTCATCCTTTAAATATGTGTATATGAGCATTCAATAATGCCAGTCTAACCTGTTTGCTGTCAGCTCTTTCAACATTAATATAAACTCAGCTTCACCATCACAACATACATCTAACTTCAGTTTTCCATATGCATAACCAATCTGTTCGAGGGAGGAGCAGTGTATTATCCATAGCACTCATTAGAGCTCTCTTCTGTTAAGGATCATTTAAAGATGAACTCCCAGAATGTGTTTGTCTTGATCTTTTTACGTGTGACAAATATAGTTTTAGATCATCTAGAGGCATGAAACAAGATTGGTCGGATAGCGGCCTTGAAATCTTCAGAAAATCTTCGTTTGGAGAACCTCAAAGCTCGTCTCCTAGCAGCAGCAGCCATCTCAAGCCGCTCTGTTTCAGGCATTGTCATGATTTTGAGGATAGCATCTGCATAGTCTTGCACACTCTGAGCTAGAAATCCTGTTTGCGTTCCTTCTTCTGGTAAGACAATGTCCATCTTTGGGCCAGCTGAATTATGGGCTGATAACATAAAAAACCCGTAAGTTGATTGCCAATACAGAAAATGCGAGATAACTATTACATGAGAAGATAACAATAATATGCAAAATTGGAAACAAACCAACTGGTATGGCACCAGAAGCCATGTACTCCACTACGCTTATGCCAAAATGCTCATCTACCATGGAGTGAATTCCCACAGCTGCACCTCCCAAGAGTTTCACCAGCTCGCTGCAGCAACCCAAAAAGTATATATCTATAATATATTAAAATATCACATCAAGAGAGAATCATTTTTTGGACGATTTTAACCCTCTACAATTCAATTATTTCAATAATACCTTACTTTTCATTTTTCGATATATAATAAATATTACAAAATTATTGTCATTTATTAACTGTGTTATTAATTATCAATTAATTAATATTCACATTAATCTAGATTCAATGAATTTTCATTTGATTAATCTTGAATTACATAAATCTAGAGTCTTATAGATGAATTTATTCATATTCATCTTTCTTGAAATTTTAATGGGTGTTTAAATTTATGTATTAACAATTAATTTTCATGTATCAAATGTAATATATAAAAGATTGTTCATTTATGGTAATTCGTCATTACAAAAAACTTGAATCATAAAAATTGAGTTTTGAGAGTACAATTTGAATATAATTTTCTTTTCTTAAAATTTTATGCTAAATTTTATTTTCTTTAATTCGTTCGAGACTTATCAAATCATTTAATAAATTGGTACCAAATATTACTTTTACATCACTTATAAAGTATTTTAGAATAACGTGCAATGCACGTTTAACTTTGACTAGCAAATACTAAAGTCCATATCCTTATCAGTGCCCTGAACAGATTGCTAGTGATAAGCTGGAGGAAGGTGAGGATGGTGTCAACTCAATATGTCCAATGTTGGTAAATAATCTTAAAAATGGGATAAAACTAAGTAGCACAAATATATGATATTAGTTATCCCCTGTTTGGTACAAATTAAAATTCATATTTTAATATAAGTTAAAGTGAACAACTAATTTTAATCACACATTTCAACGACTTTCATCAAAATCTACTAAAAATCTGATTTTAATCTCAACCAAACAGAGGCTTAAGAACATTTGACAATTAATTTTCATGTATCAAATGTAATATATAAAAGATTGTTCATTTATGGTAATTCGTCATTACAAATTTGACAAAACATCAAGGGCGGAAGCACCTATTGTAGCTAGTTATTGATGACATGTTGTTAACATCTGCACAACTTGTAGGAAGCTAAACTTAAATCATAGAACGTGATGCTCAGTAAGAGAAAATTTGGCATCTAATTATTACTTATAAACTGGACAACATACAAACTTAACCAACATGATAGTGTCAACTACAAAAAACTCTTTGGCCAAATCAATATGGAAAATAGGATAATTCCCCACAATAAGAATCACAAGTTTTCTGTGTATACCTGGCCATCATTGCTATGAAGGTAACTCTTTTGTTTTGTGCATTTGCTTTGAGCCATTAAGTTCATTGTATAAGACCATTACAACTTATAATGCAAGTAAATAGTTAGTATTTTCGCTTGTAAATAAGTTGTAAAATTCCACTAAATATCTAAAACAGTTTAGTGGTATAAAGTGCATGTTTGGTATATAGTGTTACATTGGGTTAGATAATGCAATGACCTAGATTTTAATTTTCTGTCCTTCCTTAATATCGACTAGTGTTGTCTAATACACCATATCAAGCATGCTAAAAGAGTAAAATCACAAACCTGTACAACACATTTTTATGGAACTCCACATCACCTTCCACTTTCAGCTCATTAGCTCGATCCCTGAGGTGTTGCAATCTTTTCTCATCTGCTTCATTTCTGCAACTACCTACAAATTGGAGCTTTGGTCTGGGCAGATCTGCATCTAAATTTTTTACAGCAACTGCAAATGCCTCAAGTTGAAGGGGGTGTGCCTGTAAAATATGAATCATGATCAAGCACAATTCTAACAAAACTTAAAACGTTCGTAGAAGAGAAACTTCTCAAGTACATATATCTTGATTTCATAAAATGCCCACCTTCTCTGGACGAAATTGAGCGACAGATATAATCTTTGGTGGTTGCATTGGCCTTTCTAATGGTAGCACCTGCATGGACGTTGCAGGTTAGTATTTACACTTTTACAAATCAAGACTTGCAGTATAGCATCCAAAAATTCTCTTTTAATCACGCATAGTATTTCTTTTTGCTTCCTTACAATGACCTTAATCATTTTAAATGCATGAAGTGATCAAAGTCCAGTTGGGATAAGTAGTTTAAATCCATCAGGAGCCTTCGAAGACTGGCTGTTCATAACTTGGTAAGAGTTGATAAACAAATTTTATTACACAAAGGTTCACACTAGAAACTTATGACACACAACTTATAATGATATATCAAGCACCTATTTCCAGAGCCTTTTTTACAACATTGTCAAACTAGAAAATAAGTTTCCAAAATACAAACCTGAAGCCTGGAAGTATCACACGGAGGATAAACTAGCTTAATACGAGCTGGAATTCCCCAAAGCTTTTCAATGTGGGATTTTGTCCATGAGGAATTCACCATTGCAATGTGTGCACATGAGCCTACAATTCCATACATCCAGCTGAAAATCATGTAATAGATGACTTTGCACCATGACAGCAGTGCACTGAAAGAAAAATATTGGTTAGCTTCATGAATTTAGTAGACAAAAAGAAGATGAAAACTAATAGGTTCATCAAGATTTGAACTGGCTTCATTGGGTACGCAATTTGTAAGTACTGTTACAAAATCAAAACAGATATTTGAAAAGCAAGATCTCGATAATCAATTGTCCCAACGAAAAACTCAGAAGATGCAAATGGAGGGGAAAAGATTATATAACTCCAGATTATTAAGAAAATAGATGTTTCTAGCCCGTACATTTAGGACGATTGGAAATAGCCATTGACGGAGTGTGCTTAGTCAGATCTGTGATAAGATTTTTCTCTCCATATCTCAACTTAGATTATTCACACTATACTGAGATGCCATATGCATGCGATTACCAAGCTTCCTCAACAACTAATGCAGTAAACAGCAACCATCTTTTGGGTAAAATATCAGAAAGAAAAGAAAAACATTACTATATTTCAAATTTGAGCTCATTCCTCAGGACAATCGTAATATACAAGCTTTACATTAGAAGTTGAAAAAATACCTCTTAGCAATGGAAGCATCATTGTTGTACATAGAATTTTGTGCATGAACACGAGTTAGCATGTCTAAACTGATTGTCGGGTAATGTGTGTAGCTAATAACTTTGCATCCAAACAACCGCGCTATGGGATAAGTAAATGCATATCCACTGGTATCTAAATAATACAAAGGAGTAAACTTGCACAAAGCTTCCCATGAAAGGTACACTGAACCAAAGCTCTGACCAATCATAGTGAATCGAGGATACATGGTTTCTTCAACCCATTTCCTCTTATAAAGATGCACCACCTGAAAAGCAGCATATTCATAAATCTTAAGAAACCAATAACTAATATATTCTACTAAACGCATACTAAGCAAGTCAGAATATTGAGAAGTACAAAAGATAGAAAAGAAAAAAAGCTAGGCACAAAAACCGCTACATTCTTCAGTTTTTTGTCTATTTTTGTGCCCAAAGCTCCAATTTGCTACTTAACCAAATGAACAATTAGATATAGCAAATTATATTTGAATGTTGATATTTCTTACAGTGGCCCTGTTTAGCATGGCTTCTTCTTCTCAAGCATTTTTGTCCCATCCAAGCAGTTTTGCAATGATCTCCCAAATTGCTTAGGTAGTGTTTGATAACCTCCAATTCCATGGAAAATGGAAATTCATTTCCACCTTTTGCCAAAAATGAGTGTTTGATAGGTAAAAAATTATAGGGAATTTATTTTCCATGATTCTAGCCACCTAAGCAATTTTCCCACTTTTCCTTGAATTGGAATTCTCAACAAAATGGTGAGAATTCCAATTCCAGTTTACTGTAGCAGAATTTTATTTATTTATTTATTAATTATTTGTTTATTATTATTATTATTATTTTTGACAATGGAAACAAATTCTAAGAATAATCGTAAAAAAATATTTTCCTTTAATTGAAAATTTCCACGTAAAACAAAACCAAACGAACACCAAAAGATAGATGATTTTCTTGATTTTTTTTATTTTTTTGTTTTGTTTTGGGGGGTTGGTAATGGAAACAAATTTTATTCTCAAAACTAGTAAAATCTATTCCTTTAATTGATAAATTTCATGTAAAACAAAACCAAACAAACACTAAAAAACACTTTATTTCAACATTTTTCGCTTGGAAAATTGTATCAATCAAACACAATAATTTATAATTCCTAAAAAAACAATTTCTAGACAATTCAATTCCCTATAATTCGTTTTCAATTCAATTCAATTTCATCTTTATAATCAAACGGACCCTTAGAATTTTTTTTTTTGCTTTTTTATGTACAAAACACACATGGCATTTTTTCAATTGCGGCAAAGTTTAGGACATTTTCTCCTTGTCTTTTACTCTTTTTCCCAAAATAACTTACAACCTAGTAAGCATGAACTCGGACGTGTTTGACATGTGTCTGGGTGTGTGCAACACATGTCGTGGTGTTGGATTTTGATAGCTTAGGAAACCAACACTCCGGCAGCATGTCTGTGCTCATAATTTCCAACCACAAAACCATACTACTAATCACATCTCTACTTTACCCACAATCGGATCGGTCCTCTCCTCTCTCTTACTTCTCACTTTCAACCTAGATGTATGTCAACCCTCCAACAAAGTTCCTCTCCTCGCTCTTACTATTCATTTTCAACGTAGACGTAGGTCAACAATCCACCAACACCAAGGTTTGACCCATCTTCAACCACCAGAGACACACAACTGGCCAAAACCCCTGCAGCCATTTCTCATTCTAATCATCATGCCCCTGCTGTTGACTTTCCTGCCTGTTTACTCGTATCCACTGTTTCGCCACTGAGAACATTCCTAATTGCCTCCCAAGCCACCAATCTTGGTTCTATTCATTCAAATGGAAACAAAGAGACAAGAATAGAAGCACACCACTAATGTCAACATTAAGAATGCTCTTCCATCACATTGGTTTTCTATCTACAATTGAATGTCATTTAGTTATAAAAAAAAAAGGTACGTTTCAATTTTGACTACCTACTCTTTCCGCACCTAAAACATTCATTGTCCATTTTAATATAAACAAACCCCTCACTTCGCCAATGAGAACATTCCTAATTGCCTCCCAAGCGACCAATCTTGGTTCTATTCATTCAAATGGAAACAAAGAGACAAGAATAGAAGCACGCCACCAATGTCAAAATTAAGAATGCTCTTCCATCACATTGGTTTTCTATCTACAATTGAATGTCATATAATTAAAAAAAAAAAAAAAGAAGTTCGTTTCAATTTTGAGTTTCTACTCTATCCGCACCTAAAACATTCGTTGACCATATTAATATAAACAAACCCCTCACAAATCTCAAATCCAATCTACTACGAGTCTGATATTAATAGGATATAAGGACTCCTTATATCTATTAGGCTAAATTGAAGCAGTGTGATCTCCATTATTTTAACTTATTTCAGCAATTCTTAGATTATTTTAACTTATTTCAGCAATTCTTAGATAAACACGATTCATACAATTACAAGCTAGTACGTCATTGCAAAACCCAAAGGGTGAAGTTACTCGTTCATTCTATCTACTTAGAAACTAAAAACAACCAAAACCACAATACTCAAGAAACTCATATAAAACATGCATGTGTATAAATTAAGTATTGTTCAGAGGACTGGAAAAGCAGAATTTACACAGGTTAGTGTAGGATTCCATTGCATACCTAGTACCTAAGCATGTATATGGGTACGAAATGAAATGCACCTTCGGAGAGTGGAGTAATTTGACCCCAAAACGATCGAGGGCTCGGGCAGAGAGGGATTTAGGGGAGGCATCATGATCACCGGTATAGATGACGCAGTCAAGATCGGGTGATTCTTCTTGGATTGCTTTGACGGCGCACCAGAGAACTCGCTCACCTCCACCGCCATCATTTGTGTAAGGATGGAAGAATCCCACAGCTTTCTTCCTGTTCCTCCGGCAATTGATTATGGCTGAGAAGAGTCGGATAACAAATGACAATAGCAGGCTTCCAAGCGGTAAAGTCGAGAAGAGTAGCCATTTAGCCATTCGATAAAAATAACCAGTTCAATTAAAATCTTCAAACATCAAATTCAGTAAATCCACACCTGATTTTCAATCATCAAAAAACCCTAAAATCAACACAACAGAATAACTTCAATATAAACCAGCAAATCTTCTTACCTGGCTGGCTGGCTCAATCCCACGTCTGCTTTATGAAGCCAGAATCGAGAAAGAAGGAAAAAATAGGAATTTTATCAAATTCGGTATATAGGGGTGCGAACTTCCTGCTGAAAATGGCGGTGATTACGTTGAAAAAATAAAGAACGTGTGAGGTTTGAAAATGGACAAAAACTATGGATTGCATAAAAAATGAAGAGCTTGAGAGGGATCGGAATTGGGTCGTTTCTTGTTTCTATACTTTCACGCTATCACGATTCGACGGCGGCCGGGGCGGTACTGGTGGAGGTCTCGGAGGAGAACGGTCGAAAACACCAAAGATTTCATACAATTTTTTTTGGTAAAATAGCAATGGAGGTCCCCAATCTTTGACTCTTATTTTACTTTCATTCTTTAACTTTAAAATGGACCATCTATTTCCCCGTATTTTATTTTGACAGAAGTTAGGTCCCTATGGTGCATTTGGTAGACCAAAAGCGTTGGGCTAGTGGAAGCACTTATCATGCTAGATTCTTTTTTACATTATTTTTGATATTGTGTCATGCGATGTCGTGATGACCCATAATCGACAGTTAAAAAAACACACTTTCTCATCTAACGCTTTTTGAATTTCAATGAAATGTACACCAAGATATCAATCATGGAATGTAAGCTTAGACTTCTTCTTTTTGTTTACAGATCTTATTTGTTTAATGAAGATAAATTGTATATGTATAATATAATACTCGTATAACTTTAATTCAAAACCATAGGTCCTGAGGCTAATTTTCACAATCAATTTTACGTGGTCTTTCAATAAAAAAAAATTCAATTTGCATATGCATAAAATAAATTACTCTATTTTTGACAAACCTTTAATCTAGTAATGCACGAGTATATTTGAAATGGGAGTGGGCTTGGATGTACACCAGTACTTCATTTTGGTTGACATATAAGGGATTGGATTAGTGCCATGAGTCGTGGTTTTTGAACAAAGTCGTGTCAATGTCATAGCATTTTTCTAGTGGATGGACAATGCAAGACATGGTTATTGATGCAGGACAATGTTACGGTACGCAATGGTGTATGCATAGTATTACACCTCCCTCACATGGAGACATGGGGGAGGGCCCACTCTATGTGAGGAGGTGTAATCCAATATATCATTATTGATGCAAGAATATGCTTAAAACGACAATGGACTTAAAGGGAGTTGGCTTGGAATTAATTCCCGAATTTGATTCTCGGTTATATGGGGTGGCCAAATGGGAGCTTTTTATTTTATTTTGTTTTATTTTTGTAACATATAATTTTGTGACATATATCCCCATTACTTTAAAAGAGAGGATCCAACATTTCCTGTTCAACCTGATGTAGCGGTTTCACGCTTAACTGATTTTGTACTGTAACTGAACTCGTTATGCACTATTCATCGCCAAAAAAAAAGAAAAGCTTTTCTGGAAATAATAATGAAATATGGCAGCATTATTGCTGTCTTTATTGACTTTATAGAACCATTTGCTGACGGTTACTGTAGTTTCGCTTAAAAAATATCATTTCACTTCGTTAGATGTTGTAACTTCCAGAAATAAAATTAATGAGACCACTTTATTGCCTCCATTGTTGACTTACACAAGTGAGTTACTATAACTATCCCTACCAAAAAAAATTCTTCCCGTGCATCATGAAAGAGTGAGACAAAAATTATGCTAGCGAATTGTACGAATTTTTTATCATGCCAGTTACTATTAGTTCAGGAAGCATTTCATTATTGCCCATTTGACCCTTACATGCATACTGAAGAGCCATTCACTCCTAATTAGGTACAACAATTTTTTTGCTTGTATAATTGATCTTGTGTTTTATACCACATAATATTTTTATTATAAAAATTGTCGCGAAAAAATAATAAACGTTAATAAATAACTGATTTTTTTTAAAGAAGAAAGACGAGTTATACGTATTTTTTAAAATACACATTTGAAGTACGTTTAACTATTTTTGATATTCATTTAAATCATTCAATGCGTCTATGACATAGTTCTTGAAATGAGTTTCGAGAGAATATAGAAGATTTATGCATCCGAAAATAATGAAATTTCAATAAATTATAATTATATAATAAATTATGGGAATCAAATAATGTTGTTATAGACAATATTTTAGCCTTTAATGTGACTCTTGATACTATGCAAAATGAAGATCCTGAACCCAGTCGGTTAAAGACTATCAAAATAAAAATGATTGGTCAAAATAGAAAGAAGAAATACGGGCGGAATTGAATTCTTTGAAGAAACGAAAAGTGTTTGTATCTGTAGTTCGAACACCTGAAAATGTAATCTATATTGGATACAAATAAGTTTTTGTACGAAAGAGGAGTGAAAATAATGAAATTACAAGGTATAAAGCTCGACTAGTAGCTCAAGGTTTCTCACTAAGATCAGGACTTGATTACGAAGAAACATATTCTCCCGTAATAGACACTATCCCTTTATTTGTAGGGTTCACTTGATAGTGACATATATATGAAAGTCCCTGAAGGACTTAAGGTACCAGGAACAAACGATACATTCCCGAGAATCATGTTCTCAATTAAGATGCAAAGATCATTATATGGATTACAATAATCAGAACGCATGTGATATAATCACCTTAGCGAATATTTGTTGAATGAGGGTTATAAAAGTGACGATATCTGCCCATATGTTTTCATAAAGAAAACAAATAGTGAATTTGCAATTGTGGCAATTTATGTTGATGATTTAAATTTAATTGGAACTCTTGAAGAACTCAACAAAATTGCTGATTATTTGAAAAATGAATTTGAGATGAAGGGTTTAGGAAAATCAAATTTTATCTTGAATTGCAGATTGAACATTTCGCAGTTGAATTATTTGTTTACCAATCTACGTATGCAGAAAAAATTTTAAAACATTTTTATATAAATAATGAACATCCATTGGCATCACCTATGGTTGTTTGATCACTTGATGTGAAAAAAGATCCATTTCGTCCACTTGAAGATGGAGAAAATGTTTTTGGTCCTAAAGTATCATATCTTAGTGCAATTGGAGTATTAACTTATCTTGCAAATTGCACTCGACCCGACATAACTATTTCTATAAATCTCCTTGCAAGATATAACTCTACACTAACTCAAAGATATTGGAATGATGTTAAACATATTTTTCGTTATTTAAAAGGTACCACTGATTTGAAATTATTTTATTCTCAAAAGTTGGGATCTGTTTTAGTGGGATATGCAAATGCAGATTATCTATTTGACCCACATAAAACCAAATCACAAATAGGTTATGTATTTACATGTGGAGGAACAGTTATATCATGGAGATCTGTGAAACAATTATTGATAGCTATATTCTCAAATCATTCTGAAATTATTGCAATCCATGAAGCGGGCCGATAATGTTTGTGGTTGAGAAACATGCCCATCATATCCAAGTATCATGCGGATTAACTTCAACAAAAGATAGTCCAACAATTTTGTATGAAGATAATGCTGTTGACCTATGGTTGATTTCATTTTCAATGATTTTGTTTGAAAATAATGCAGCTTGTATCGCACAACTCAAGGGAGGCTATATTAAAGGCAACAGGACGAAGCATATTTCTCCAAAATTCTTTCATACACATGAATTTCAGAAGAATTGTGACATTGATATTCAACAAATTCGCTCAAGTGACATTGTGGTAGATCTATTAACAAAAGTGCTGCCAATATCTACATTCAAGAAATTAGTTCATGAGATTGGAATGCGTCGACCTAGAGATTTTCAGTGATCAACATCAGGGGGAGTAGCTATACTCTTTTTCCTTCGCTTAGATTTTGTCCCATTGGGTTTTCCTAACAAGGTTTTAATGAGGCAGCATTTAGTTTTAATACTCCAAAATAACTGTACTCTTTTTCCTTCGTTTGATTTTTTTTCCATTGGGTTTTTATTAAACAAGGTTTTAACGAGGCAGATATTTTGTAATATGTCATTCAAGGGGGAGTATTGTAAATAGAAAGTCCATTAAAGTTTATTGGTGAATGACATTTGTACCCCTGTAGCCCTAGAAATTATTACCATTGTATCGCTAATTCTTACCTATAAATATAGGGTTTTGGTTTTCAATAATATACACAAAAAGTTTATTGAGTTTTCTCTATTCTCTTTTCCTCTCATTTTATAACAATATATATATATATATATATATATATATGTATATATATATATATATATATATATATATTAAATAATCAATTATCATAAATTCTATCTTTCTTTGTGTTTAACTTATTTATATCATTATTAAAAAAGTAGTATATTCTTGAAAAAGGTATTTGCACTTACATTACATAAATCTTTCTACTTCTTCATATTGAAAAGTTTTGATAGTTGAATCAAATTTCTTGAATAATTTCCTTCATCAAAGTTTTTCATATTTCTTTGTGCTCAACTTATTTATATCAATTTTCAAAGAGAGATATATTCTCGAAGAAGTTCTTTGCACTTATATTGCATAAAATTTTCAACTTCTTCATATTGAAAACTTTGATTAATTGAATCAAATTTGTAAAATTATCATATTCATCAAAGTTTGTCATTTCTCTCTTTGTACTTGATTTATTATAATCATTCATTAAAAAAGAGATATTTCTTGAGAAGATTATTTGATTTACATTGTATTTAATTTTTTTTCACCTTCTCATTGAAATACTTTGATTGGTTGAACTTAATTTTCAATTGTCATTTTCATCAAAGTTTTTCATTTAATACTTGAGCTATCATTTGTTACTATTCATTGAAGTGTTAGTCACTCTTAATACTTAATTTGTTTTGTATTATTTATCAAGAGAGAATTTGATTGTAAAATCACTTTGATAAAGTGTGGGTCGTGTTGAAGTCTCGGAAAGCTCAACATTGTGTAAGGATTGGTGCTCCTTGTTGTAAGTCACCGTGTGGATCATATTGAGGTCCCGTAAAGCTCAATAGTTTGGGTCGTGTTGAGGTCCTGGAAAGCTCAACGTTGTAAATGATCGGTGCTTCTTGTTTGTAAGTCACCAAAAGCTTTGTAGAAAGTTGGATTGCACCACAAGTTAATCAATATAGTGAAAAAGACATTGCTTGTGTTGGAGAGCTTGGCAACGGGGGACGTAGATCAGTGCATTGGATCGAACCTCCACAACATATCGTTTGGCTTCTATTCCTTTTTACTTATAGTTTTTACATTTGTTTATTACTCAAATCATTATATTGTTCTTTGCTTGTTATCGTGTTTGTGGCTATTTGGTTCATTTACTTTTATATTGGTTTAAATCTAGAATTAATTTTCGAAAAAGCTTATAT